CCAGGAATTTGCCCCCCATCACCACTGGGCGGGCACCTGCTCATTCTTAGAGGGTAGTGGAGCTGTCCTACAAAAATTTTGTGGGGAAACCTTCTCCCACCCACCCGCCGTCTCTGATCTTGCTCCTTTACGCTTCCTTTTGTTTCCCAAACTCAGTGTTTCGAAGGAACAAGATTTGAGTCTCCCAAGGATGCCCAAACTGTTGTTTTGATGGGATTTATAAAGTACAGAATGATAGGAAACGTTACAGAGGTGGAACTTTGCCGACAGACCTAGCCGGAGCTTCACGCTTTGATATTTTTGTGAAATGAAAGTGTTTCCAGTTTTTGTTGCAAGACTTTTTGACTTACTCTCTTCATTGGATCCCAGGTACTCCCAGAGTTTCTTGTTTATCCTTCGGTCCCCAACCATTTTGGTATCCACCCGGTTGTGAAATGCAAGGCCCTCCTGCATGTACGTATGTATGTATGTACGTACGTATGTATGTATGTACATATGTTTGTATGTATGTACGTATGTATGTACATATGTATGTATGTATGTACGTGCCTTTTGGGTCGAATTAGGTGACTCTGCATAGAATTAGATGATCCTTGCCCTGGAATATCAGGGGCTTTGGAGTTGTATATTTTACTGCAGGTTGATTCTTGGACTTGCTTTATTCCATTAGGATGATATTTTTTTGGTTGCCTTTATAATGTGAGCCAGAGAGATCACACACTTTTCTGTCCCAGGCCCATTTCCTAATGTGAGTACTCTTGTTCACAGAAAGTTTGTATCAGCATCTCACCAAGTGTTATGATGCAAATCCTACCCTCACCCCACCCTTATGCAGTGCCCAGCATTTACTTCTTAGGTGTTTGTGAAATGCTTGGGTAGTGAATGGAGAGAGGCAAGGGGAATGATCCCAGTAGGAAAATCATTTCCCTGGCATTGTGGTTCAGTAGAATAAAATCATTCTGGAAGAGTAGCAACTCATTGCCACCCCCTCATTTAACCTTTTCCAAGTTTCAAAAGCAATGTACGCTTACTTTTGTGTTCATGCAGCAAGAAATGGTCTTGGGGCAAGTTCTCAGCTCGGCGCTTGCTTGGCGTCATCCTAACGTGTCCTTCCAGAGCCCTCTCAGTTCATGTACACAGTGAGGGAGAGGTATTTGTAAAGGAAAATGGGCTCATACCTACCTTGTGGGTGACTTCCATTTCACCTTTGTTAACCTATTTTTAAATTTCTTTCATATTCCGAGCCAAATCCATTGCCATCGAGTCTCATCCTACCTTAGAGGATAGGGCAGAACTGCTCCCTAGGATTTCCCCAACTAAATCATTACATGAGCAGCCAGCTTCTTCTTTCTCCTGCTAGAAGGGCTGGTGGTTTTGAACCACCAACCTTGTGGTTAGCAGCCCAGGGCTTATCTCACGATGCCACCAGGACCCCTTCCTTTCAATTTAGGAAGATTTCCAAATGAGTACATGGTGTTCCAACCATGGATTTCATCAGTCCTGTTGACATCGAGGTTCTCCAGTTGTCTGCATTAGTGATTGATGCTGTCATGGAGGTAGATCTCAGTAACCTTTGAAAGCAGGGAAACAAAAGCCAGACTTGCTGGCTCTTGACTGAATTTGCCCCGATGATGTCACTTCTGCAAAAATGTAAAGCCTTCCTTCATCATGGTGTGGAAGCTGTTGGAGCCTGTGCTGACATTTGATGACCTCCTTCTCTGCTTCCCTTCCTGCTCATTATATACTCCTCACCAGCTGCGCTGGCTCGCCAACCAGAGGAATGCTGAAAGAGATTGTTTTGTCTTCTCTGGTGTTTTGACACCAGAGGTGGCAGGCTCGGGTGTGTTTGAAGATGGTCTTTGCTGTTAGGTGGCTCGTGGCTTGTTGGCGGCTCTCGAGGAGTCAAGATGGTTCTGGGATCACAGTGACTGCATGCACAGGGGCTTGGACCGTAGGAGGTTTGGGGGGCCCATTTGCTGGTTTTCAAAACCTGCCAAAGAAAAATAAAAAGCTGAAACATTTTTGTAGGAAGTGGGAGCCCTGATACTGCAGTGGTAAATGTTTGGTTGCTAACTAAGGTCAGCGGTTCAAATCTGCCAGCTGCTCCGAGGGAGACAGAAGGGGTCTGCTTCTGTAAAGATAGGCAGTCTCAGAAACCCGAAGGAGCTCTTCTGTCCTAGAGGGTCACTTTGAGTTGGAATTGACTTCTGGGGTGGTGGGCTTGGCAGATCAAATTTTTGCAACATAACCTTTGAACCAATTGGTCCCAGTTTGTTGTTGCTGCCTGCTGTAGCAGACAAATAAGGGGTGCCCATCAAACTTGTCCATAGAGCTGGCGGCAGGGCAGGAGGGTGTGTTGAGAATGCAAGTGAGGAGGCCAGATTCCTATAGATGGAGCGCATTCCTATAGATGGACACTCTCTCTTTTTTGCGATAATTCAAGCCAAACCCACTGACACCTTGTGACTTTTGAGGCACTTCCAGGTGGGTTTGAACGGCTAATCTTTTGACTTGACGAGTTGTCTAACACTTAACCTTTTGCACCACCCAGGAACTAAATAAATTGGGTCCAGAACTCCTGAACACCCCATGCAGTTGTGGAAATGTGCGTCTCCATTGTGGTCATGGTTTCTCTGGTGTCTGCATATGTTGAATGTCATCAAATGTTACCTTCTAAATAGGTGCGATTTACTGTGTCCATTACCTGTATTCTTATTGCTGCCCTGGCCATAGAGCATCATCATTATTTACATTATAATTCATCTCTTCCCCACCACACTAAGCTCCCTCATGGAGAGGGATGGACCACTTTGGAGACATCTTATTTGGATCCTTGGGTCCTGTAGTCAGGTGCTCGATAAGAATTTGTGAAATGATGTACATAAGCTTAGATCCTAATCCAAGGGTTGTAACAGGTATTTGGACTTTATTGTTTGTTTGTTTGCTTGCTTGGGTTTGGTTTTAGTTTTCTGACAATGTTTTGTCATTTAATCAGCCAAACAATTTGGAGCTGGGGTTGTCATGCTCCCCCTGCCTCCCCAAATTAAGCTAAGATAGAATAAACTTGGCTGCTAACTGTAAGGCAACAGCCACTGCACAGGGGAAAAAACGTGGCCGTTGAGCCTTGGAAATCCCATGGGGCAGTTCACTCTGAGTTGGCGTTGATTTGACAGCAGCTGGCTTAGCGGTAATAAATGTGAAACCTCTTCTCCTAGACACCATGCGCCAAGAGGAGTAGACCTCTTCCTGTCTTGCAATGGAAGTCTCCGGAAAGAAGACTTTCAGCTCCGAGGAAGAAGCAGCGAACTACTGGAAAGACCTGGCCATGACCTACAAGCAGAGGTCAGTTCTCAGTGTCCACCCTGCTTTGCATTCACGGTGACAGCGACAACTGTTTAAGTCAGGCATTGCGCAAGACTCAGCACACATGATCTCAATCTCACAGCCACCTATGAAGAAACTGGTCATCACCCCCTTTCACACATGAGGAAACGGTGCCAGAGCGGGAATCTGAACTCCAAAGCCTGCGTTCCTAACCATTATGCTTTCATCTTATTTTCTGGTAGGGTTTTTTTCAGTTCCCAGATTCTGTGTCTGGTCTGTCCTCCGTGTACAAGGAAAGAACTTTCCCCCTGTGCCTCGCAAAACAGGCTGTTGGAATGCCACTGTAACAGTGCTTCCGCATCATCTTAGTTACCCCGTGCTGTTCGAACAGAAATACCACAAGTGGGTGGCTCTCCCCCAAACCATGCTCACTGCCTTCGAGTCATTGCTGACTCATAGCAACTGTCTGTGGGTTTCCTAGATTAACTGTTCACAGGAGTAGAAAGCCCAGTCTTTCTCCCCCAGACTTGTGGTGGTTTCGAACTTCGGACCATGTGGATCGCAGCCCAACCTAGAACCACTACACCACCAGGGCTCCTCCTGTGGGCGGCTCTACCAAACCAAAGTGTATTCTCAGTTCAGGCTGGAAGTCTGAATTCATGGTGTCAGCTCTAGGGGGAAGGCTTTCTCCCTCTGTCGCTCTGGGAGAAAGCCCTTATCTCTGTTAATCTCTATGGGTGTAGTGGTCCTTACAGATCACCCAGCATCTTGGTTATCACTTTTGCTCCTAGTCTAGGAGGTTCTCAGTGCTGGGACCCTGGGTCCAAAGGATGCACTCCGCCCCATGCTCTTCTTTCTTGATGGTTGAGATAGTTTATTGTGCCAGCCTGGCTGATAAACGCAGGTGGGATTGACTGAAGGGCAGAGATAAATGGCTTGGTGAGCCTTGCCTTTCTTGTCTCTCGCTCTGTGATCATCGGACCAGTGTGTGGCTGCCTTGCATGTTCTGTGCCTCAATTTAAAGGCTACACTGCCTGTGGGACGCCTAGCTTGTGGACTGTATTGCTGTAAGTTGAGGTCCCTTTAAGACTTCTCTGGAGCTGGGGACTGGCGGTTGGTGACCTGCCTTGTGGTTGGCTGCTGTGCTGACATAGCCTAGCTCTCTCTACAAATAGAGGAAGATCTGGCATCAGACAGAGACTTGAAGGACTGCTAGTCTCTCAACTTTCTTTCACGGATGTGAGTTGCACTAAGCCATTTATAGTGCTTTCTAATTTAACTGTTTTATTTCTTGTATTGTATATTTATCTGTATATGATTTAACAGTTCATTTCTCGTTATATATCTAATTATCTTTATAAATAAATATATTAAATTATCAGGAATTTGGTTTTATCTCTCTAGAGAACCCTGTCTAACACAATGGTTCAGAGGCCTCTGTTCAGCTCACTTCTCTCCTTATCTCTTGTAGTTATCAGTGGTGCAGGCCACACCCCAGGGAAAATCCCATATAGTGGCTCAGGATTGGGACCGGAATAAGAGTGTTGCATGCCACCTTAATCCTCTTAACCACGGATTGATCATATCAGACCATGAGAATCATGGCCCGCCCAAGTTAACACATACTTTGTGGGTATACAGTTCTGTCTGTGACCAGCACACTTATCTTGCACTTGTATGTGTGTGTATCATGGTTTCTTTTGACTTCTCATGACACAACTTCCACATAGAAGTCTTTTTTTTTAACAGTTTTGTTGGCACTTCACCCACTTATCATATGAATCAAATAATTCATTCATATCAAAGAGTTGTTCAATCATCACCACAATCAATTCTAGAACATTTTCTTCCTCCTTATACTCATTCATGTAATTAGTTTTCATAGTTGTGGCAAAAATATGCACATGAAAACATTCTCCATTAAGGAAACTAATTGTGGTAGCAACTATATGATACTGCTTGACGTAATTGAACTATAGAATGACATAATATATGTATTAACTCCCAATTAATAATTTAAAAAATTCTCCATTTCAACAACTTCTACATGTATAATTCAGTGCCACTGAATAGTTGTACAACCATTATTGATATCATTTGACAAATTTTTCTGCTACCATTAACATAAACTCATTGCCCCCTAAATAAATACTTTTCCTCCTTCACCCATGGTAGCCATTGGTAGAAATCTTATTCTGATCTTTCTAATGTCTTTACATTTAGTGTGACTTAAAGAGAATTCGTAGTAAGGAAGTTTTCAAAAATTAAAAAAAGTAATAAACAATTTTTTTTATTCACAGAAAGAATATTTTTATTTAAAACACTGAGTTGGGGTATTCTATCAATAGAACACATGTATAGATTGTGATATATATATATTTGAATTCTATATAGCAATAAAAAATGAATTCAGGAGCATACCTGAATCTCAAAACATAATATCAGGTGAAAAGCAACCAGCTATGAAAAGAATATAGAGTGTGATAACATCTATTAAAATTGCGATGTAAGCAAAACTGCCCTGCTCCTCAGTACTGACTATTGAACAACATTCTACATTTACAATAATAGGAAACTTTCTACTCTCCAACTGTTGTGAGCATTAATGCCCAGTGGCTAAGGTGTGACTTGAGATACGGAGCTGAGAGTCATACCTGCTGTGATGGTCAAGGTTTTGTGGTAACCATCGGCTTGGCCATGAATCTCAGTGGCTTGGCATTATGTAATGATGTGGTCACCTCCATCCATTCTTGCATAACAAGCCTGGTCTTTGGAAGCTAATGGTGTTGATGAGTGAAGAGTGGATGCATGTTCTTTAGGGCTGCACACAGGGTAAGAAAAACTAAGGGAGAAATTAAAAACAAAAACCGGAGGAGTTGATTTTCTCTAGTCAACCTGAAGATCGCCCGCTCTCTGCTGGGGAGAGAGGTTGTCATCAGTGGCTGTTCAAAAAGGGATTCTTGTCCTTTCAGATACGTGAGATTATATGGTGTTTGCCCTTTGGTGATTCACTTATTTCACTCAGCGTAATGTCTTTGAGATTCATCGTATTGTAGCACGTATTTCTTGTTTTAATTTGTATCTGATTGGTATTCCATTGTATGTATGTACCACGTTTTATCCATTTTCTGTGGATGGACGCTGCAGATATTTCCAGCATTTTACTGTTGTGAACCGTTTGCCAGTGGACACAGGTATATTGCATAACACACTTATATGTAATGACAAGAATTGTCACTAACCATATTAATAACCACTAACAACCACCTGTCTCTACATGTTTACCTAACAGTTGCTGGCACTCCTCGTGGGATTAGTTTCCATAGTTTGAAGGATTAGAGTCGTAGCTGCCTAGGACTACGTGGTCACTTGACCTAACATCACTGTTAAAGTTTGTTTTACTCAGTAGTTCATTGAGTAGTGACTGCCACGGTGTCCATCCGGGTACAATTGTTCTCTCCTCTGGAGCAGCAGAGGAAGCGACCAGGGAACTGCTTACATGTCTCCTTTGTCATTAGACCCAGAACTGGCCGGCGTCCAGCCACCAGCACTGAACATCCATCAAGGTCTTGATAGATGAATCCAGATTTTAAAATGAGGGAACAGAATGGGATTTCTAATTCTTAATGAAGTCCAGAATCTCTGGATCCATGGAGGAATCCTTCCATCTATTGCCCTGGGAAAAGCTTTATACCTGGGACCAACACTTTTTCCTGAAGTCATCTTTCAGCAGCAGTTAAGTTCGTAAAAATCGTTGCCTTGAACATTGCTCAGCCTTAAGGAACTAGTCATTTGAGATCAGATTGACAGCAGTAACTTAAATCTTAAATGGAGAAGTTTGACTCCAAAACCCACTGTCATCAAGTACATTTTGATGCATGACAACCCTCTGGGACCAGGCAGAACTGCCCCAGAGAACTTGGGACTGTTCCCAAGGCTGTGATGGTTGCAAAGACAGGATGCCCCCGCTTCCTCCCATGGAGCTGCCGATGGGTTTAAACAGCTGACACTTTATTCATGACACCACCAGAGCGCCTCAGAGGGGAAATCTAGGGGACAGTGAATCTCAGACAGTAGTGCTGTACCGAATGGGTAGAGCTAGCCAGAATGGTGGCACAGCGGAGAGTTTACAGCACCCATGCCAGTGAAAGGAACAGGGAGCCACTGTTAAATAGCTGTCTGTTCTGTGTCTATTTTCATCCCCCTCCAAAGAAACTAGCCTTGAGGACTTGGGATGGAGCAGCAAATCCTAGTGTTGTAATCAATGAGCATTTAGATTGTATGGGATCAAGAGACCTAATTACTAATTAGGTCTCTAATTAGTAATTAGTAACATGGTTACTAATCAGAAAGTTGGAGGTTCAAGTCTACCCAGATGCAGTGCTGGCCATCTGCTTTTGAAATGTCCAGTAGAACAGAATTTCACTCTTAACACGTATTGCCCTATGTTGGAATCCACTTGACAACAACCGATTGTTTTATTTATAAACCCACAGGGGTAATAAAATCCAAATTGTTTGCTACAGATTTGGCTCAAAAAATGTGTTGGACGAAAGAATGGTGAATTGGTTCAGAAATGGCTTTGGAGCCAGCCAGCCTTGGATTTCGGGCCCAGCTCTGCTCCCTGTGACTTGTATGAGCTTTAGACAAGTCACTCCTCTTGTCACCTGTGAAGTGGGATGATGACGGCGTGACCCACACGAGAGGCATGTTGCCTGCCTCACCTGTACTCCATAACTGATGTCATGTGTGGGAATTCTGCTGCAGGGCAGAGAATACCCAAGAAGAGCTTCGAGAATTCCAGGAGGGAAGCCGAGAATATGAAGCCGAATTGGAGACGCAGCTGCAGCAGATTGAAACCAGGAACAGGGACCTCCTGTCCGAAAACAACCGTCTCCGCATGGAGCTAGAAACCATCAAGGTGAGGGGACAGTGGACTCGCGTGGAGGCAGACTTCCAGCGGGGCTGTGTGGGGTGGGGTGGACCAGAGAGCTCCGTGGAGGGTGGAGAGGTTGTGTCTCTGGGCTTACTCCCACTTCCAGGCTGGAGCTGAAGGTGGTGGCCGAGCTAGCTGCTTAGGCCTGTGATGGCAGCGGTTCCAAGAAGTGAATCAGACAGGTGTGGTTCCCACAGCCTCTCGTGTGTCTGTGACAATTTCTGATTTGGAATGCCGCTAGAATTGTTGATCACGATGAGGTACAGAGTTACTTTATTCTGTGTGCTCACCTCTAGCCTTAGGTGGTTTTTTAAACTTCAGTTAAAAAATGAGTTTAAAATGTTTTTCAATCACTCCAGCCACATTGTAGATGCTAGTGGGTATCACCGTGGGACAGAGGGCTTAGAAAACACTGCCATCTATCAGTACTGGGCAAGGGCAGGGCTCTCAGCCGGGGCCTCTTCCATCCCTGGCAGCAGAAGCACTTGTCCTTGCAGAGGGCTGTCTGGTGCATTATAAGATGGTGACCAGCATGCCAGGCCTCCATCCCCCAGGGAGAGCGCCGGTAGCAGCTCTGTCCCAGTGGTGGCAAGCCGAAATGCTGGCCGACATAACCGCGCGTCTGGAGCATCACAGCTATGGAGCATGAGGAGCAGTGCTGTTTGTACAGCCTCGGGCTAGCAGCTGACCGACCCCTCAGAAACCCTGCCCCCTGGAGACTGTGTCCCTCAGCCTTGCTGCAGCCGTCAGTACATAGGCGGCTCCAGGCGGAGGCGTGCTGAGTCTCCCCTCCCCAGCTCTGTATGCCTTTTTTTTTTTACTTGCCCTCTCTTTATAACGTTGCCAGATGACTCCTGCTGTGTATGTAGCTGGAGGAAAAAGCCCAAACCCCACCGTGTGTCACTAGGGCTAGGTGTGAGAGAACTGCTGAAGGGGCCGTGGGAAGATTGACCTGAGACACCTCACAAGAAATGAGGGCTACATTGCACAGTCCTGCCCACAAGGCCTTGGACCAGCGGTTCTCAACCTGTGGGTCTAACGACCCTTTCACAGGGGTCGCCTAAGACCATCGGAAAACACATATTTCCCACGGTCTTAGGTACTGAGACACCGCTCCTCTATCCGTCTCCAGGCAGGTCAGCCCAAATGCAGATACGCCCACCTACAAGTACCTGGCATGAAGACGTACCCATGCCACACCATGCTTCAAGACAAAATTTCATTTATTTGTGATTAGAAATAAATATTTCACAATACATAATTACATATTGTTTTTGTGATTTATCATTATGTTTTAATTATGTTTAATTTGTAACAATGAAAATACATCCTGCCTAGCAGATGTTTACATGATGATTCATAACAGTAGCAAAATTACAGTTATGAAGTAGCAAAGAAAATAATTTTATGGCTGGGGGCTTTTAAAATGAGAAGGTTTCACATGTTTTTGAGCTGCCTCGTTTACCTTTTAAGGAAGTTGGCTTTTTTCCCTACCCCACGTCCATTTCTCACCAGCCTTTCTCTTAGCATATTGTTGGAAGCCCTTATATGTCCCTCGTATGTCCTTGCTATTACCAATTGTCGTGGAAACGTCTTTCTGTCCCTCTGAATACTTTAGCCTTCCTGTCATTAGCTAGAGCTCAGTGGTTAGCCTTTTCTTGTGACAGTAAAGTGCTTTTGAGTTCTTTTATATTTCATATTAGCATTGGGAAGTTGTGAGGTCTCACCGTTTCTGATTTCCCTTTGAAACTGGAAGAGCTGGTCACACAACGGCTGAACGTTCTTCCACAGCAGCTAAACGTTGGGGCGTGGTAGCTTCCAGCAGTGCCCTCGAGTTTGCCACAGTCCGCTCTGTCCCCTTCCCTTCTCCACCTCCCTGACACTGCCAGATCTTAGCCCAACACCTGGTCCGCTTCACTTATTTTGTTAGCAGGCTGACCCTTGCAAGCACTGGAATTTGACCCTGAGATAAGGAATTGCAGGGGCTCAGTGGTGGAAATCTGTGTGGAAGGGAGGTGTAGTGGCTTGAAAGACAGCTTGGAGAGGGTGGGACACCTGGGAGATGCTGAATAAATATCAAGCAATGACTCATTAACCACATTAGGCTCGAACCCCAGAGCCTTCCGAAGACCGCTCATCACAACCACATGACAGGCGCATGCTGCCCAGTGCAAAGAGCAGGGGAAAGAAATACCTTGGAGCGAAGAATACACTGCCCCCAGCACCTTTGTCCTTCTCCTGAGACTATTCAGCTGAGAGGAGGCTTGATGACAACTGGCTTCTTCACCGCCAGCTGAATAAGAAAGCTTGTGAGAGATCAAACAGAGAGTCTATTGACGCTCCCATCAGCTGGCAGCTGCTCATTATGAGCCCCAAGCGAAAACGCCACATTTCAGCACCGCCTTTTCCTGTCCACACATGATGAAAGGATCATGTGCCGGCTGGGAAGCCACTGCATCCTCTGGGAAACAGCATGTGAATTCAGGTTTGTGCGCTAGGAGCCTGCACCGTGTTTTATGTGGAGACGCCTCCTAGTCATGCCAAGGCAGGGGGTCGGGGTGGGTGCTCTGCTGTGTAGCCTGAGACAGCTCTAGCAGGACTCTGCAGCCTTGGGGTTGGGTGCCCTCGTGGGCTCTCGCTGTCAATAATCCACTTGTTCTTAGGCATTCTTAATGCCTCCTGCCAGGCCTCTGGGCCTAGCCAACATGCCATCACCCAGCACATCCACACTGTTTCTAGCATCCGCTCTGTGCACACGATTCCTGTAAAGAAGAGTGTGAGGTGATGTCCTGACCAGGGACCTTCCTTCCCAGTGACTAAGTGCTGAGAGGCCGGAACAGACCGGGAGTCACCCCGGGAGGCATGGACTTTGCTGTTAGGAGATGGTGACTTAAGGAGGTACAGTACTGCTTGGCAGCCCAATGGCAGCCGACCAGCTCAGGGTTTTTGCGTTGCCTAAGGTAGGGAAGGGGAGGGGGCTTTGGGAGGCAGGCCTGGGGCAGGTGTGCTGGCTGCCGGTTTCCTGTTAACTGCTCCTCCACAGGCGACAACCCCTGGTTGTTGCCTAGAAATGGCCTTGGTGATAAGGTGTTCTTAGTGATCAGCCCTGCCACTGTGCCAAAGAGGGCTTGGGGGTGGGGGAACATGGTCAGAGCATGTGGGGGTGCTCCTTTGCCATATAAGGAGGTTGACTTTTTTTTCCTCCTTTTTTTTTTTTTTAAAGTTCTACCACTTCGTAGTGAGGTGTCCTTTTCTTTTTTTTAAAAATCATTTTATTAGTAGGGGCTCATACAACTCTTATCACAATCCATACATACATCAGTTGTGTAAAG